TATCATTGATGTAGCATAGATTTTTCTCGATATTTTAGATGTTTCGGTAAAGGTAAACCTTCTTATAGGCATATGTATAAAAGTTCTTCTAGTATATTTGTCAAATTTTTTTCTACTCCCGTGTCTCAAAGTATCTTGTATGTGTGTGAATATATAAATTTCAGAGTACTACAAAAACGGAAATAAAAATGTAAACGAAWTTGTTTCCAATTAACTGTCATTTTTCTTTTGAATCAATCTCAATTGTTTTTMATTTTTAATTAGTTTCTTTAACATGTAAATAATACGTTAATTTKTACAACTTTTCCACGTACTCTTAATAAAGTTTGGTCCACTTAATTTTCTACTCAATGTTAACCAGCATGTTCCGTGTACAAGCACYGTGTCAGTTCCTTTATACCAACACCGAGCAACAGCCACCAACTGTACAAAATACCATTAMTGCACAAATACCCTGCAATTTATTACATGTTTTTATGTAAATCGTTTATGTATATAACATACTAATTCTTACTTAAACAAAACCAAAAACAAATGATATATGTATATCATTATAAATATTATTGGATGTGTAAGTTTAAGCGACGTTGCATTTATCTATGTACACGTGTACTCTATGTGATGAATGTGATCTGCCGTACACCCACTTAATATGAAAATACCGTGTAAATATGTAAACTACCGACTTTGTAAAGATGTGCCCGACGGTGCGAGGGAGCCTTCGCTTTAATCGCCATACCTTTGCTATCTAATGCAGATCATGACGGCAACTGTAGAAACAGTTTCAGAGCAGCTTGACTTGGCCTCCATTCTGCCCACGGACAGGGCTGTGGCCCGGTCCATCACGCTGTCCGACGCGGATGTGGGCAGCGCCAATGTCAGCGTCACCAAGGCGTCCGTMATGGGCGAAAATGGAGCCAACGGCAGCACAGCTGGCGGCGAGAATGGCAGCGGCTCTGAGAACGATGAGGAGGAAGAGGACAGCGATGACTTCTGGCACACATCGGTGGGCAAATTCAAGTTTACGCTGGATCAGCTGCCCCAACCACTGCAGTACATACACCAGCTGCTTACGGTGCGTATGCGTTATGTGAAGTAATCAATGACAAGTTAATTAAAAAGGCTAATTGATATAGAAACGGAGATCTGCTACAGCAGAGTATTAAGACTGTCAATAATATTCTGCAGATCTTTTAACTACATATTTATATTTCGATCGTGTTTGATGTGTTTGTATTCATGTTTTATTTATGTTTTATTCATATTTTTGCAGGAAATACCGACAATTAAAAAGCCCGAGATACTCTACTATGTGCTGCAATGCCTGAAGACGATGGCGCTGCACGGCGATGCGTTGACCAAGGCAGCGAAGGAGCAGCGCGGCTTCTTCATATGGTGTCAGGAGAACTTGCTGATCAAGAAGTGAGTGAATGCTCTCAAAGTATTTCAAAACAGAGATTCTTCACAAATTACTTGTCCTATCCATAGCCTGTGGGAGCTGTGCAATGCGGAGCACTCGCACATCTGTCAGGTATGCGTGCCGCTGCTGCTGCACTGCATCACTCTGCCACTGGGATCGGATGTGTTTTGGCGCGTGGTGCAGGAGGCGTTTCACGATGTCGATNTTAATATGAAAATACCGTGTAAATATGTAAACTACCGACTTTGTAAAGATGTGCCCGACGGTGCGAGGGAGCCTTCGCTTTAATCGCCATACCTTTGCTATCTAATGCAGATCATGACGGCAACTGTAGAAACAGTTTCAGAGCAGCTTGACTTGGCCTCCATTCTGCCCACGGACAGGGCTGTGGCCCGGTCCATCACGCTGTCCGACGCGGATGTGGGCAGCGCCAATGTCAGCGTCACCAAGGCGTCCGTCATGGGCGAAAATGGAGCCAACGGCAGCACAGCTGGCGGCGAGAATGGCAGCGGCTCTGAGAACGATGAGGAGGAAGAGGACAGCGATGACTTCTGGCACACATCGGTGGGCAAATTCAAGTTTACGCTGGATCAGCTGCCCCAACCACTGCAGTACATACACCAGCTGCTTACGGTGCGTATGCGTTATGTGAAGTAATCAATGACAAGTTAATTAAAAAGGCTAATTGATATAGAAACGGAGCTCTGCTACAGCATAATTGATATATTCTCTATAAGTATTAAGACTACATATTTGTATTTCGATGGGCTATGGTAGATCGTATTTGATGTGTTTGTATTCATGTAATATTTTTGCAGGAAATACCGACAATTAAAAAGCCCGAGATACTCTACTATGTGCTGCAATGCCTGAAGACGATGGCGCTGCACGGCGATGCGTTGACCAAGGCAGCGAAGGAGCAGCGCGGCTTCTTCATATGGTGCCAGGAGAACTTGCTGATCAAGAAGTGAGTGAATGCTCTCAAAGTATTTCAAAACAGAGATTCTTCACAAATTACTTGTCCTATCCATAGCCTGTGGGAGCTGTGCAATGCGGAGCACTCGCACATCTGTCAGGTATGCGTGCCGCTGCTGCTGCACTGCATCACTCTGCCACTGGGATCGGATGTGTTTTGGCGCGTGGTGCAGGAGGCGTTTCACGATGTCGATTGGCGCGTTCGCTTCACAGCAGTGGAACGAGTAACCGTGATTACACGTTTTATGGATTCGACACCGCTGCGCTCAGAGGTTGGCCTGCAAACGGCACTGGCCACCGCCTTCTGTCATCTGATCGCCAGCATGGATGACATCAATGTGTATGTGGCGCAGCGGGCGACTCTGTACATCGGAACCATACATGATACGGCAATACGGTCACTGCTCTTCTGCTTGGAGTCGCAATTCGATCTGTTCATAGTCGATCGGCCCGTGGTGCTGCAGTCGGTATATCAGCTGCACAATTCGCTATCCGACCGCAAGATGCTCAGCTGGGAGTTCTTTCTCAATCGCTTCGATACGCTGTTCGTGGAGGCGCAAATCAATCTGGAAAAGTGCGGCGACATTTCGTATCTGCGCGACCTGCGCAACTCGGACAATGGCAGCGAGGCGCTCTCGGCCAAAATACTGAAGGCCAGAGAGGCCCTCAGCCAATCGGACACCAGCGGCAGCATGGCCAAGACTCTAAGCGCCTCCTTTGGCACCAAGTGGCCCTACAAGCGAACCATGTCCGCACCAGCCAGCATGGCGCCGCGTCAGGACTCCAAGTTCGGTAAGCCGTAAGATCTTTGCTGGGATTTTCGGGATATTCAGTCTTGCCATTGCAGTGCCCGAGAAGGAAAAGATCTACAGTCGCCAGGTCTCGGCACCCATACTCAAGCGGAAGACCTCGCGCTTCGGATTGGGTCAGTTCCTAGGCACTAGTAGTGGCAATCAAAATACCAATACAGCTAGTCATAGTGTGGCCACAACTAGTAATACAAGATCTAAGGCCCCAACACCATGTCCCATACACCAAGCCCACCCCCAGAACACGGCCTTTCCCTATCATCCACACCAACACCCACATTCACATCCACACACATTACAACACCATCCACATCACACTGGTAGTAGTGCACAAGTAGCGACGTTTGCCTCGGCTCATAGTCAGAGCCATCAGTATTTAGTGCATTGTGTACCGCCTAGTCATCATAGTCCACTGCCCACGCTGCAGGAGGCGGGGACCCGTCTGCGCACCCAGGCTGCCCAGCAGTCGTTGCAGCAAGCCGCTCCAGCGCAGCCAACGACGTCATCGACGCAGCATCAGCAGCAGTCGTCTGATCAGACGCGTGCACCACCACAGACCACAGTGGTGGCAACCGTGGGTGGCCTGGCGACGTCGAGCTTCACGACAGGCGCCCCACAACCAACCACTGTCCACAGCTTTGCCACGTCCCTTCACTCCCATTTCCAAAAGCATCCCTCGGCACCAAATCTGCTGCCGCCACAGCCAGCGGTGGCTGCACCCAGTCCCAGCCCCTCGGCACTGGCCTATCCCATGCATTGCACATGTGATGTCGCTCCGCATCCGGGTACCAGCACCACTGGCACCACGGG